AATTAGTTTTATGGTGCTATAACTAAGTGAACAATCAACTCAACCGGTTAAGGTTTTGGTGAAATAATGGGGGCTGGAGGTTAAAAAATGCCAACTTTGCAAGTTTCGCAAACCACAATGACCATTTGCATCAAAAAAAACAATAGGGACTGACTTTGTGACTTTTGGTAAACCATAGGGACCATTTTTATAATTTTGTCAAATGAAAAAAATAAAGTAGCCACTTTGTTTAAACAGAGGGGTTGTGGGCAAGGTTTTGAAAACCAGACCGAAGACCGAACCGGTCGTCTTACTGGTTCGATGGTTCAAGTGGTCCAACCGGTCGGTCCGGTCTCAAAAACCGGAAAAACCAGATGATGTCATAATTATATTTAATTATATAAATAATACAAAAAATGAAAAAACTAAATATTTTTTAGAATTTCCGGTTTTGACCGGTTCAAACAAATACCGGTTTTTTGACCTTTATGAACCGGATCCGGGACCGGTTCTCGGTTGAACCGGTCGAACCGGCCGGTCCGGTCCGATTTTCAAAACATGAGTTGTGGGTAAAAAAAAAAAATACTTTATGGAAACATATTTATTTTTCTTTAATATCCAAAAGTTTAAACCAAGGTTATAAATAATGTGAGGAGTGGGTTTGACGGCAATGTCAAAGTTAAGCAATGACGAGCTTTAGCGAGCCATGATGTTTTTCAAAGAATGATTATTTTATATACATTAAATAAAGATAAATCACATAATTATTGAATTTTATCAAATATATCAAGTTCCTAAAAGTGTTATATTAATATTTAATATACAAAGTTAACAAAAACTTAATTATTTTAGACCCGATTAGAAAAAACAAAAAAAATGAAATAAGCAATATAAAAAAATCATGCCTTCAAAAAAACTCGCACTGTAACGCGATAAGGTGCACGTTGACACATTATTTGGGCGTCACATTTAACAAATCCGTCTTAAACGTTTTCGTAATGACTACATCACGCCTTGCGTCTTAAGACGCATTGAGGCGCGCCATGACATGATTTTTAGAACCATGGTTTTAATCATGGACAAAATTAGCAATGTATATAAAATTTAAGTGGATGAAGAAAAATCAATCCTCAAAATAACTATCAATATATGGAGAGTTCTATATTATGCAAATATGTTTTAAAAATCACGTTTTTAATTAAAGTTGGTATACCGATTGGTTTCGGTTTAACCGGGTTTTTAGAATTTTTATTTTCATATTTTCCTATACATACAAACACAAAAGTTTAAACATTAAAAATACATAAAAAACAAATTTTAAGTCATTTAAAATATATTAAAAAACACATAATCATAAGTTTTATATCAATTTACATACATAAAAAAGAAAATAAACAAAATATAGTTTTAGATGAATAAACACTTTCAAAATGTTTCATAACATTCCCCATGTGTTTTTCTACAATTTAAGAAAAATTTAAATAGATATGAAAACCGACCTTTCGATAGGCTTATTAGTTTCTTCTTAATTACTTTTCTAAATAAAAACTGTGATTAATAGCCAAATAATTAAATTTCTAATTAAATATTATTTGATAAGTATTATTTAAAAACACAATTCTTATGTTAAGGACTTCATAGTTATGATCACCTCAGAATTAAACATTCCAAAGAAAAAATCATATTCAAATCTTACGTGTTTCAATTTTGGAATGACCCGTCTTTAAAAAAAGAAGACGTTATGTTACTAAAATCAATTTAATACTTTACTACAATAATAGATTTGGTGTAAATCTTATTAGTGACTATTTTCCATAAGTTTATAGATCTAGCTATTTGAAATCATTTAATATTCAGATATCAAACAATAACGGTAGGGGATATTTAATTTCCCTAATTTAAATCAAAAGATGTATTTTTCTTAAAATATAAAATAAAATTATGTGGGTGTGAAATCAAAACACATAAATATCCTCTACAAGTCCATTTCGAGAATTTAAAATAATTAATTAAATTTTAATATTTTCACAAATAAACTTATCTAATGTATTGGGATGTATTGGGAGCCCTGAAAAGATACACATAACACCATTCTTTATTTATTTATTTATTTATTAAGAACCAATCAAATTTCAAACAATGGAAACATAAAATATATATGATATGAAAGAAGAAAAAGATATAACATATACCGTACTTTTTGGCCTTCAAACGAATTTATCGATACTAGTAATTAACTAAAAGAAAACATAAGGTTTACCATAACTCATAGACTACGGTTGTCGCCAACTATCCATAATGTTCATGTTGATGTTGACTCGTTATATGTTAGCTATACATCATCATGTTGTGTCGCATGTCCAAAATTAGTTTGATGTGTAGAGGGCACATGTGACACTCTGATTCTTTCTAATTCAGTAGCAACTTCTTTCATTGTTGGCCTATTTTTTCCATTGAAGTTCAAGCATCGCATTGCCATGTTAGCCATAGCCAACAACTCATTCGTAGAACCCTCCTTAACAACCATTGCATCAAAAATAGACATCACACGACCTTCTTCCATGGCTAGCATAAAGTATGTAGCCAAGTTTCTATTTTCACCAAATCTAGTAAAGGAAATAGGCTTCTCTCTTGTCAAGAGTTCCAATAAAACAACACCAAAACTATACACATCACTTTTTTCAGTGAACTGACTCGATTGAAAGTACTCTGGGTCTAAGTAACCAAATGTCCCTTTGACTAAGGTAGTTAAATGAGTTTGATCAATTGATACAAACCTTGACGTTCCAAAATCAGATACTTTGGCTCTATACTGTTCATCCAAAAGTATATTAGTCGTCTTGACATCCCTATGGTATATCGGAATGGAGGTTGCGGAATGTAAGTAAGAGAGTGCTCCAGCAACCTCTGTAGCAATGTGTAATCTCATTGATAAAGAGAATGAGAACTCACCCGTTTCATCTTGAATAAGATCATATAACGTACCATTTGAGATGAACTCAGAAACAAGTAGTGGGACCTCAGTCTCTAGGCAACATCCCAATAATTTAACAACATTTCTATGGTTGACTTGTGAGAGAATGACTACCTCATTGATGAACTCTTCTAGTTGGCTTTCATCAACCATCTTTGATTTCTTGATTGCTACGATCCTTCCATCAGCTAACATACCTTTATATACTGTACCTTGACCTCCTCGACCCAAAATTCTATTCTCATTAAAATTGTCGGTGGCCTTCCCCAATTCGTTGGAAGTGAAAAGTATGGTTTTCTCAACTAAAGCAACATCAGTTGCTTGTTGTTGTTTAAGAAGCAGACCACCATTGCGTTTAAAAAACCTTTGTTTCCTTTTCTTGGCTTTAGTTTTCTTGATTATTTTGTACAAAGCATAGCTGATCACCGATAAGAGAAACAATCCCATACTTATACTAACACCTAAAAGAAAGAAAGTATATCATAATTAATAAATTAACATTTGTTCTAAAAAGACATTTAGCAATTCATGTTAATGTAATATTGAGTATGCCTCCCACAAAAGATATATGTTAGTCTATTATATCTTTAAAAGTCATCAGTTTTTTCTTCACTATCAAACTTATTATTCCATTAGTAAATAGCATAGAAGAATTCTTAGAGAGATTGATTTTTTTTTTAGTTTTACGAGTAATCCAATTAAAATAAAATAATTAACTATACATAGATAAATAACTTGAAGAACTCTTATAAACAAGAGTTTGATCATTTTGAAAAAACAAACAAAGCAATTAATTTCAAATTAAATCCTGGTTAGGTTTTTATATTCTCTGTATATAATTTCTACTTATGAAAAAAAATCTCCATTTAAAAACCCTACAACGACATCTATAGGGAATCCGACTAATGCCAACCAACGATACAGAAATGCTAGATCAGATTGAGATAATAAAAGAAATAATATGTGTGAGCGGCGATTTCAGAATGCCAAGAAGAGAAACACAAACAATAATCATGAGCTACAAAATAACACGAAATAAAGAAGGTCAATGAAACAAAAGGGAATCAAAACGAAAAATAGTAGGATAAGTGAATCAAATCATTTCTAGAGGTTCTTAAAGGGAACCAGAGAGAAATTGTTGGAAAAAGAAGTCAAGGTGCTTCAAGAACGATCACAAATGAGTCTTGGGACCCATTAACCATCCCAGACTCGATTTGTGTCGTTGTGGATAATGATGGAGAGGTGTATTCTATTGCTAACCTGTTCAAGATTTGAAAAAAGCAAGGATATGAACATATTATGATGAAGTACATCATAGGAACATGAGTGTGCTTGGAATTTAAATCTAAAACTGAATGTGATAACTTTAAAAAAATGATGATGTTACTTGTATTTTACATAATTGAAGCCATCAATGAGAAACTTTATAATTAAAGAACATTTGGTGTGATTGGAAATATAAGGTCTTCTGTTATGTGCATGGAAGTCACGTGCATTTGAGATGGTGACGAGATTGTTTTACTAATGACACGGTCAACAATATAACATGCATGGCTAATGGTCATGTTTGTATTCAACCGAAGTCAAGAATATAATCTCGAAAAATGTTAATATTTCGATAAATGAGATTAAGCATCATGTAAGGGTAAGATATATCTTTTTATTTCAAGTAGCACTTTATTTCTATACTTCGAGAAGTATATGCTTCTTGTACTTTTGTGGTCAGTCGATGACACTAGGCATGTCGCATATATAGTGATAGACACGCTTGCACACTCTTGTATTTCCTTACATTCATACATTTGTACTCTTTAACCTTTTCTTAATCAATATGATATGAAACTTATTATTTACTTGTGTTATTTCATTACATCTGATTTTGATTCGTATATTTATTGAATAACTCATCAATCGGTATCAGGGCAGAGATCTTTCAAGTCTTTCGAATAATTTCTTTTGTCTTTCATATTCTAGATCTAAAATTGTTCTTAGATCTAGTTTCCACATTTGATAAATATTTCTTCGGTTTTGGTTGTGATTTTTGATCATGTATTTTCTTCTAATCAGTTCATACAAATCATATCTTTTTGTCATGGAAAATTCCTCTACTAATACAAATAACATAATGAGTTACACAAATATTCTTGGTTATGTAACGAAAACCTCGATGTTACTTCCAGAGCATTATGATCAATGGGATGATCGTATGGAAGAATATCTTAATGGTCTTGATGAAAGTCATTGGAGTTCACTAACAGATGGTCCTAACGATCCAAGCAAAGTTACCGTAGTTAGTGTCACTGGAAGTTCTAAATCGTTGGCGAACACGAAATTAACAATGAAGCAACATGATGAAAGATGATGAGAGAACTACGTGGACCTCTACCTCCAGTTGTCTACGGTGACATCAGAGGATGTAAACTTGGTAAAGAAATTTGTTAAGGCTAAAAGAAAATTTTAAAGGAAGAGAAAGAACAAAGTAAAGTGTACCTATAGATCTAGCTTTTGATAGATTCTATGATTTGGTGTGTCATATGTCAAAGTATGGTGTGGATAGGAGTACTTTGGAGAAAAATATAATGTTCATTCAAGGATTACGTAAAGAATGGAAAGGAATAAATATTCTTCTAAATTTTGATACATATTCCTTATTTGTACTCTTTAACATTCTCAAAACACATAAACATGATGTCAAGGAAATTACTGAAGATAAGGAAGAAGAGGATGAAGAAAAGAATGTTAATGATGATGATGAGATATCTGTATTTGATAATTTTTAAGTAGTTAGATTAAATTGAATTATCCCTTATAAATTTAATAATTAATTTAATTATAAAGTAACTAAAAGATAATTGTAAATTAATTATGTGTTTAAATTGGTTAATTAGTTATATGATAATTTAGATAATTGATATTTAAACCTCGTAATTTGAAAATATTTAAAATACTCCTTACACTACATGCGATTAAAATTTTAATATATTATATGTATAAGACAAATCAGTCAACCAATAGTAGGCCTCAGTCTCAATGTCATGCTATAAGGGGGGGGGGGGGGTATAAGAAAACTGCCTATAAAATGGTTGTTGAATGAGTGTTAATTCTCACCCACTGCTCCTTTGCGTGGTGGAGGGTCATTATCCGAACGGATTGATATGACATAACCTCTCAAAAGTATGATGCCATACAGTACTAGAACCCACTTTAAAATCCCACTATAGTTACTTTAGGAAAAATTTGAAATTATATGCTAATCTATGAAAACACATATCATTTCATTATGAGTCGTTAGTGGACCATGTGTGGTTAACCTGCACACTAGTTTGGTACTATAAGGATGAAATGATGAAACAACTCGTGTTTATGATTATTTATGGAATGTGTGTGGTTAACCGATGTGACAACCCGAAATTTTCCATTCTAATCAAACCATTTCAATCCAATAGAAGTAGAGCAGTTGCAGTAAAAATTCTAACTTATGGTATAAGTTTGGCAGTTTCAGGGTTTTACACCTAAGGAGTTATTAGGAGAGTGGATGCACTAGGATCTTGTGCAACACTGTAATTCCATTACTCTAGGTCATTAGAACCCATTCCGAGAATAGAAATATTTTCTGCCAAAAATCTCAGGACTATAAATAGAATTCTGAACCAAATTGGTTCATTAGTTGAATTCCAATTAGAGAAAAGCCAATTTCTCTCTCACGGATCTTCGGGTTTTTATCCCAGATTGTCAGTCTACTTCCCTAAATGTGTTTTAATACTTGTTATATGCTTTATAACATTGTTTACATGTCCAAAACACAAGATCCGGGAGTTTACCGCCCAAGAACGTTCTTGGGGAGTAAACTCCAAAATCAAGCCTAAAGGCCATCTAGTCCCATTTCCGTGTTAGGCATCTAACTAAGGACTTTGTGTATGAGCATTAGAGGCTAGAAACAAATCAAAACCATGTAGTTTGAGGAGTTTACGGCCAAGGAACACCTCTTGGGCCGTAAACTCCAAGTGATGGCACAAATGAGTGCCTAATGTTCCCTTTAGCCTTAAACAAAAACCTAGAAGCCTTATACTCATGCCTTGTACCAACAAAACCTTAGAAATCATTTCTATAAGGGAGTTTACGGCCAAGAAGCTCCTTGGGCCGTAAACTCCATGTTTTAGGTGCCAAAATGCCTTCAAACTTTCCCTAAGGCTTAGACTTTATTTTGGCATGTACACCTAAGTGTTTAGGACCTAGAAAACTCATGGAAACAATAAGTGTGGGAGAGTTTACGGCCAAGAGTATTTCTTGGGCCGTAAACTCCTATTAAGGGGTCAAAGGACACCCTAGACACTTCCTTAGGCCATGAGACTTTTTGGGCAAGTACCTAGATGAGTTTTGGACTAGTTAAAATTGTAAGAACCCCAATTGTGAGGGAGTTTACGGCCCAAAGAGTTCTATGGCCGTAAACTCCATAAAATGGTACATATTGGTGCCATAAACCCTCATAAAGCCAAGTACTAAAGCCTAGAATTGTTCCTAGTTATTTTAGGGACTTGAAAGAACAATAAGAACCCTCCCAAGGGAGTTTACGACCGTAAACTCCAAGGGAAAAGGGTCTTTGGGCCGTAAAATCCCCAAAGGAGTCAATATGGTGCCCAAACACTTGCATAGGCCTTGAAACAATTCCCACTAAGGTTGTAGCAATTCAAAGTACCATTTAGAGCATTGGTTTAGAGTTTACGGCCAGGAGTTTACTCCCCTGGGCCGTAAACTCCAATGATTATGGTCTTTTGACCTTAAACTTCCCTTAGGGGCATTGCACTCCTTTGTTGCAACCCATTAGCCTCCTAGCACTTGACCAAAAGTGTTGTCCTCGCGCTTAAATGTTTATACTTGTATAGTTAGTGATTAAATCTCTAATTATTTATATACATATGTCTTCATATGTAATTAGGATCATTGTGTGTGTCTAAGTCTTCACTTGACACCAAGCACTTGTCCGATCCTTCCGTACTATAACAGCCCGTTCAATTCCAGTCACTTACTGCAGGTGAGTTCATACCCCTTAACTAATGTTTTAAACTATTTTAAATGTTTTATGGGGGGGGGGGATACAAGTAGAATCATGCTAGTATTATATCAATCACATGCGATTAATAAGTAGAATTACGCTATTTATTACATCAATCACATGTGATTAATATACAGCATTCAAAAGATTTGGCTACTCTTAGCCGTTTTACCAAACAGTTTCCTTCAAAAGATTTTTTATAAACATTTTATATGTTTTCAAACTACTTATTACACTGTACTTCTTACTCTGTTTATCATATTTCAAACTTATTTACAATTGTGCTTCAAACAAATGTTCCTTGTACTTATATTGTTTTATCAAACTTATGCCTTCAAATTGTTTTATAGATTGACATCAAGTCGATCTTTCCTTAAACTAATATTTGTGTTTCAAATGTTTTACCAAACTTATTTATGTTTTTATATTATAAATTGCATGCCTCTATATGTATAGTTATATGAGAAATGTTTAAAAGACTTAGGAAGGCTATCCACCCTATTTCCTTTTCGCGCTTGAGATGTGGTCTGGTGGGATATCGGATACTCATCCGAAGGTCGTTTAAATATTAGTTATATATCATGTGTACATATAAAGTCATAAAAGGTCCTTCCAGTTCATCCTATGCCCTTGGGTAGCAAGGGTATACATCCACGTCCATTCGTACCACTTAGATTACTAGTAAGCTACTATATGGTTAGTTCAGGAAGATACTAGAACCATTACTAGAACGCGATATCATACAATGAGTCAGTTCATTCATGAGTCAATACTTTCTAGAACATTACTGTACATTACATATGCAACTATACTATGAGAACATATACAACTATACTATGAGAACATATACAACTATACTAGGACGAGAACATATACAACTATACTAGAACGATTACATTACTATACTTGCTAGATAGAGAGAACACGCATTACAGCTAGCACACGTAGAACCTTACAGTACTCTACTATAATATTTACTTGATCACACTTATAGGAGTACTTTTGCATAGATATATCAGGAGGAGTCCTATTACATTTTATATGTATCGACTCTGTTATCAAATCCTCATTCTTACCTTTACCTTGTGATACAATCACATATTCGACGAGATAGAATGGATTTATTATCCTAGTACCAAAGGATACGATTGTGGGATTGACCATTCCTAGAATCTCTGTTAGCTACAAAGGTGAAAGCACATCCACGGATGTCAAACGGTTGGTACCATTACAGGTACACTTTAAGGGATTAACTATTCCTATACCCAGCTGTTAGCAACAGAGGTAAGAGTACGTCTACGGATGTCTTAAAGTTAACAATGATAGTTACCCTAGTACCAAAGGGTAATATTCAGGTTAGTTATATTATTACCTTTATTTTATGACTCATTCACATAACCAATGAGGTGAATTATATTTAGGTATCCTAGTACCAAAGGATACAATTTTCTTATAATGATAGTTATACTTTGGAAAATACTTACTCTTACAAGAGACACACACACAGAACAGTTAGGTCTTGGTAGAAGACACCTTCATGTACTAGAAGGAATCATAGGGATTCTAGGGTTTTTCAAACACTTACAATACTTACACTTACAAATTCTTACAATACTTACACTTACAAATTCTTACAATACTTACACTTACAAATTCTTACAATACTTACACTTACAAATTCTTACAATACTTACACATACAAATTCTTACAATACATAGACTTACAAATTCTTACATACAAATTAAGACACTAAATACTTATGATCTCACCAGTTTCAAAGCTGATACTCGCTTCCAAAATTACTTGTATCCTCAGGTCATCATAGACAGGTACCGATGCAAGGAGAAAGGAAGATGGAGCTTATTCAAGACTTATCTTTCATTTTGATTTATGCTTTAGTGTTTATCAAAATTTGACAGAATACAATTGTATAATAATTATTTTATTAATGCAATGGATGATGTTGTTGTTTGTTTACTACTTTACATTGTTGTTGATATTATACATGACGTCCTCCGCCCCAGAACGTTTCCGCCGTTCTTGGTTTTGGGGTGTGACAACCGACATATCATTGAGAGATTATAAATCGATTGAGGGTACTTAAGCGGATATGCATGGTTATTCACATCTTAATTGTGATCCTCGGCATCCCAGTCATAATTGGTAATCACATAATCGAGATTAAACATGCCATTGATAAGATTCAATGAATCTTAAAGATCTAGGAGTTTCATGTGATTGAAATTGGTGAGTTGACTCTACCTACCTAAAATAGATTTGAATTTGATTATGAGATCCCTCTTCAAAG